TTGTAGTGTTTTCAGGGTTGACGCGTTGATAGGGGTCGGGCGAGTCGTAAATCTGTTGGTTGGATAAGGGAAGTAGTAAGGATTGAGGGAAGTATCAGTTAGGTATCAGAAGTCTCGGTAGGGTGTATGTAATAATTCCAGTTGTTCGTAAGCGGTTGTTAGCTTTGTGATTCTCAAGTTGGAAATTCCTTATGCAGTCGTAAGTCATAAAGTTCTTGGGGATTGTATCGATTGGGTGCCCAGGTGGGAGTACACCGGAGTCAGTGGTCGGATCGTAATTTCTCGTCAAAGCAGTGGTCGGTAATGGCATAGAAAAGAGTCAAGGGTGTTAAGATTTTGGGTTCATCATATGGTTTGATTTTGGGATAAGTTCGCGGTCAGTGTGTTTCGAGGATCATTCTTCATGGTTTTGGTAATGCCCCAGTTATGGACTGGGGGTACATTTAAATGGATGGTTCTACCGTTGTGAAGGTTGGGCTAGTGAGGAGGTTTCAGGCTCCGAGCATCAGTGTTTTGGGCAGTATCAGTGTTTTGGGAAGTATCCGTGTTTCGGGCTGTATTAGTGACGTGGGATTTCACGTATGCATGGAGAGTTTGGGTGTTTGGGAAATGATAAGTCACTTGCATTAGGATTAGATAATCTCAGAGTAATTGGTTTGATCCTATTGCGCAGCTCTCGTCTGAGTCTAACCGTGCAGGAGTGAATCTTCTACTCGAAGGATTATCTGAGCCTTTTGTCAAGTGTAAGTGTTCTGTCGTTATATATGGTCAGTAACTTTGTTTCCCTCTTTAAGCAGCATATGATCAGGGGTTGGAAGCATTTTGTTTGGTATGAGACTCTATGAGGTTGGCTAGGTGATAGTTCGGTGGGGGCGGTCTGACAGGGAGTCAGACCATTAAGACTTTAGGTTTCAGATCTCAGGGGAGGTAAGATTGGTTTTCATTCAAAAGATTGAGGATTCGTTCTTCATCGGGCTTGAAGAACTATTCTAGGGATGGCCTCGGTAGACCTGGGTAGACCGTTGTATGATTAGAGTTGGAAGTGTTATGGTTGGCATGTTATTCGTTGAGAGCTTGGCATGAAGTTGCTTCAGTGTGGGCGGTCTCTTTGGGATTCAGACCATTATAGATTTCAGGTCTCAGAAGGGTAGAAGTGGTTTGCATGGGATGAAGTTTTGATTATTGTCTTCGGGATGGAAGTTTCGGTTTGGGTCCCGGTTGCCATAGGAAGACTGTCTTAGGCGCAGATTTTCCGATTGTGATCTTTAGGTTGGTCGTTTTGTTATGAGTATTAATAAGGTTTGATTTTGAGGATGAAATCTAATTTAAGTGGGGGAGAGTTGTAACATCCGGAATCTAGAAGGTTAATTATGGAATTATGCCAATTTCAAGTTGAACTCGGCAAGTTAGAGGAGCTAACTCGGCGAGTTGAAGATGAAGAATCATGAGATTTAATGGGTCTACTCGACGAGTTGAGGAGCCTCAACTCGGCGAGTAGAAGTTGGCTTGACTGCGAAGTTTAATGAGGCAACACGACGAGTTGAGGAGCCTCAACTCGGCGAGTTGACCACTTAGAAGGAGACCCTAATTTTTAGGGTATTGCACCCTATTTAAACACCTTAAGTCCCAGGTGTTGGCCTCATTTCCAGCCTCCATAGCCCCTAACCCTAATCTCGAAACCCTAGAGCCTCCTTGAGTGTTGTGAGCTCATTGTGGGTGTGTTTTGGTGTGTTTAAAGATCATTGAAGGAAGAAAAGCTTGGTGCAAAGTGGTGGTTCGTGTAGGAGCTTTCAGATCTGGGTTCTTTGCTCCATTTCCAGCACATTTCAGGTATAAAGTCCTAACCTTGCTTAATATTTTATCAGATCACCTTATTTTGGGTTTTGTGGTGTTTTGGCCTCTTTTTGGGGATGATGATGGAGTAAAGTCATTTTAGGGGTTGTTCTTTCGGATTTGGGTTGGTTTTGGTACCCTTGAGCTTAAATGTGCAAGCTTTATGAGGATTTTGATGTCATGCATGCATTAAGTCAATTATTAAGTCAAATCCAAGCTTAAGAGCTTCATTTAGACATGCATGAACGTAAAGTTGGAAGCTTTACGTGGTTTTCCAACTCAAGGAAGTCAGATCTATGTTTTGGAGTCATGTCCCAATGGATTACATGCTTAATGTGTTAAGAAGTAGGTTTCTGGCGAACTCGGTGAGTTTGTTGGATAAACTCGGCGAGTTGGCTCGGTTTTCTCGATATGTGCAGATTGATGGGGAAACTCAACGAGTTGAAGGACAACTCGACTAGTTGGGTCAACTTGGACCGTTGCCATTGACTTTCGATTTATTCCTTTGACCAAGTTTGTCCTGAGGGGTGTTTGTGATAACCGGATTTGGATTTAAGGAAAATATGGGCTTAGGATAAGACCCATTGGGCCCAATTCGGAAAATTGGGCCATTAGTGAGCCTTTGTGGATCTTTTGGTTTCAGGCCTCAGTTTTGGTGTATGTTGGGTCAGGGGTAAAATGGTCATTTTACCCCAAGTATGGATTATGGATGATAGCGTGGGACCCAATTGCTAATTGGGTGTGTTATTGGTTTTGATAGCTCGGAAGTCGGCAGGGCAACAACTAAGGACTTTCTTTCGGGGAGCTTGTGCATTCGAGGTGAGTCTTCCATAATGTGCTTATGGGTCGAAGGCACCAATGTCGGTCCTTTTGGATTGTTATCCTGGTTTATCGTATGCTTGTATGTTGTAGTGATCTGTTAGATCGGTATCCTGGTAGATAGGATGTTGCCATGTTGTGGTGATCTGTTAGATCGGTATCCTGGTAGATAGGATGTTGCTATGTTGTTATGGTCTGTTAGATCTGTATCCTGGTAGATAGGATGATGCTATGCGTAGTGATCTGTAAGATCTGCCTGTTTGTCTGTTGACTGGTTATATGTTAATTGTTATGTATATGTCGACATGTTATGTACGGTTGGGTTGAGGCGGACATGCTTTGTGCTGAAGGCCAACAGACCCAGGGCGTCCTGGATAGACTGAAAGCCAGTGGGGCGTACCAGTCAGGCCGAAGACCCGGAGAAAGGTCCAGATAGGCTGAAGGCCCGGTGAGGCGTACCGGTCATGCTGTAGGTTCTGTGAGCGTACCAGATAGACTGTAAGCGGGTGAGGCGTTCCAGTCAGACTGAAGGCTCTGTGGCGTACCAGATGGACTGTAGGCCAGTGGGGCGTCCCAGTCATGCTGAAGGCCCTATATGCATGTTGTTATTTGTTTGGGTGTTGGTACTTTGGGGGAAGTCACTAAGCTTCGTGCTTACAGTTTTGGTTTATGATTTCAGGTACTTTAGTGGATCGTGGGAAGGTGAAGGGGTGACCGTACACATCCTCGCGTTTTGGACTTATGATTTCTGGGAAACTCTGGTAATGTGAATGTTTTAAAAACTATGTTGAAAGAGATTCTGATTTTTAAATAATGTTTTGGGAACAATGGTTTTTGTAAACACTTCTATAGAAAAAGGGTTGTTTTGAAAAGTTTAAATTTTATGAAATTTTATTGATGTTACACAAGATTTTAAACCCTAAGTCCATAAGGTCCTAAATATGACCTCAACTTGTGCATGGATCAAAGGGGACCAAGACTTAACACTTTTTCATCACCTAGGGCTAAAAGATGGTCACCAAAGTAGCCTAAGGTTCTAGAGTTGTCCAAAACTCCAAAATCATTTCTTCAAGGGACTTCATGACATGAAAGTAAAGAAGAGGATGATAAAGGTGGAAGCTTTATACCTTCCCAAGCTCCATAAGATGCAAGAGATGCAAGATCTGAAGTAGATACACTCTTCTAACTAGCAAGCACACCTTCTTCTTCCCAAAGTGCAATCCAAGGCTTCAAACCCAAGAACACCAAGAATACAACAAGAAACATCAAAGGGGGTTATGGTTTCATTTAGGAGGGTTGGTGGCTGAAGAGGATGCCCTAATTTTGAAGTTAGATGCTTTAAATATGGAAGAAACTCTAAAAGATCATGGGCTTGGCTGATACTGCCACCACGTCGTGACACACCACCAACCACGTCGTGGTGCTTACCAGAAAAGTGCGATCACAAAAGCCATGTCACGTCGTGGGCATCCATGCACCACGTTGTGGCAAATGTTTTTCCATAAAAACCATTCATTTGATTCCTTCAGGTCACCAGCTGATCCATTCTGGAAAACGGGTGTTATATAATTCATGCAAATATCACTTCAATTTCCTACATTTGGTATTTATATTTTCACCTTTTTATGTTTAATCCTTTGGTATTTATCTTTTCTTTTTCAAAATAAACAAGTTTAAATTTGACTCATTCAATTTTTTATTTGATCCCGTCATGGATGAAAACAAAAAAAACAAAAACCATATTGGTGTTCCCAAGTTTAATATCAATTAAAATACATTAAAAAACATAAATTATTGACAAAAGCACATGATTAGTCTATATGATTTTTCAAAACATGTTGATTCATAACAACTATTGGAGTCCAACACGTTTGATCCATATGATTTGATTTTCTTGCCCACTTTGTCCTTTTGCCACAAAAAAAAAAGACGAATCACAAAATCAAAACCAAAAAGACGAATCATAAAATCAAAATGTGAAAAATGAATCATAAAGAATTTGAAGGTTATGACGATGAGGAAGGGAGAGTCTTCTCCACTAAACAGTGGAGTGAGTGGTGCCCAGAAGGGGAGGGGATGAGCGGGGTGCATATTTTGATGCTCTTGAAATACATAAGTATAAAACAAATCTAAAGAAATATGTAGAAAATCTACTTGAATTCCTCCCACAAAATATGAATAAAGAAATGTGTAGAAAATCTCACTATTTCCCGCACTTTTCCCTTATTAAAACCATGCATAGCACATGCCTTATATCGTATAAACATACAATTTTACTTTTGACAACATTATCAATGTGCATGCAATGAGTACTTTACATATACATACATGTATGAATAGTTAAAAATGTCGTATTACATATATAAACTATAAAAATAGAAATCTCCACTCACCCTTTACAACAAAACCGTTCTACTAAAATATGTACTTCAAATTCGTGTCACCTTAAATCATGGGAGTGGTCAACGAACGCCAACATGGCATATTATATCTTTTCTTTTTCATTTTTCTTTTTTGTATTTTGTTTAAAACTTTAACTAACTACCGGATCAGCTTTTGGAATGTTTGTGGAAGATTCCATTTTTTCTAATTTTTGATTGTCGAGCATAGGAACAATTGGCGGCTGCATTCTTCGTGTTACTGTCATGTTTAGACCTTCTGTTGTGTGAATTGTTGCTCCTGTCGTCATTTTCACCTAAAAAAAAACAAAAATATTTTTTCGACCAAATGAAAGAAAAAAAAAAATGAAGGAAAATTTTATAAATTAATAAAATATAGAAAAATTAACTTACGGGTGGTGCTCCTAGTGCCATTTGAAAGTTAAATCTACGGACAAGCATCGCAACTGCAACTATTGCCTACAAGTATACGTTTATTTAATTAACAAAAATAGAATTCGTTTTTTTTTTTTTTATTTGAGCCTTTTTATAAAAATTATGATTTTTGATTTCCATTTTTTTCTTTCATTTTTGAGACATGTATATTTAAATAAGAGTAAATTACACGAATGGTCCCTATGGTTTAGGGTAATTTGCATGTTTGGTCCCTAACTTATTTTTTTAACTCGAAAGGTCCGTACTGTTTGTTTTGTTACGCGTTTGGTCCCTGTCTTACCTAAAAAGACTATTTTACCCTTGATTTTTTAATTTATTTAAATAAACAAACCCCAACCCCACCCCCTCACCTTACCTTACATTCCCTTACCTATCCCACCATTTTTTTCTATTTAAAATAATAGTCTTTTTAGTTAAGACAGGGACCAAGTGGATAACAAAAACAAACAGTAAGGACCAAACATGTAACAAAAACAAACTGTAGGGACCTTTCGAGTTAAAAAAATAAGCTAGGGACCAAATGCGCAAATTACCCCAAATCATAGGGACCAATCGTGTAATTTACTCTTTAAATAATTACCTCAAATGAAGCAAACATGTCACCAACACATTTCCTTGGTCCACCACCAAATGGCAAGTAACTGAAAAAAATATCACCGCTTAATAATTACCCAATCATATCATTTTACTTCACGTGAACACTTTATATCATAACAAATTAAAAAAAAAAATTAACCATTTATGACGATTTTTAAAATACCTAAAATTTTGATTTGTCTCATTGGGATTCGGTCCATCTAAAGGCCATCTTTCAGGGTTAAATTTATCTGCATCTTCCCAATGTCTAGGAGATCGATGGAGATTCCAAACTGAAATAAAGAAGTCTTCACCCCTATCAATAAACAAATAATTTTTTTTAATGATTTCCAAACCTATTTGTAGTCAATAAACAAATTAAGTAATATAATTTAATAGCCAAAATGTTATATGATTCAACCTTTTAATCGGATACTTGTCAAGAACATCATCTTCAAGGGAACGACGTATCAAAACAGGTGGTTGAGGGTAGAGCCTCAACGACTACAAAACATACAAATTGAATGCGTAAGGGTATAAATGTAAAATTTTCGGGCCCCACAACATAAAGATGTTTTTTTTTTCTATTTTTCTTACCTCGTTGATCACTCGAGTTGTATATTTAAGTTTCTTCATGTCTTCAATGGTTGGAAATCTATCACCTAAAACCGCATCAACCTAACAACGATATCATTTTGAAAAATCAAAATTAATTTTGCAAATCATTAAATTAAATCCATAAGTCTAATTGTATTGTGTGTGTGTGTGTATGTGTGTGTGTGGAACTAACCTCGTTTTGAAGCTTGGACATGACACTAGGTTCCTACAACATAATTGAAGCACCAATAAATATAACTTTATCATAAAGTTTTAATTTTTTTAATTGTTGTCTTGAAATTGCTTCTAAATCATATATATATATTATATATATATATATATATATATATATATATATATATATATATATATATATATATATAATGTATTATTCTTTTGGGACATAAATTTAAGGTACCTTTGAAAGAAGATAAAAAGTCCATGTTAATACAGCAGCAGTTGTCTCATGTCCTGCAATAAGCATTGTCATCAAATCATCCCTAAGTTGCTTGCTTGATACCTAAATATAAAAAAAAATATATATATATAAGTTGCAATAATATTATCAAAGTTGTAACACATTAAATAATTTATAGAAATAAGTATAAAACTCATACATCGTCTCCTCCTGCCAATAGAAAATGGAGAATACTTGGATCATTTTCGTTCATGTATTCCTCATTGAAGTCTACATCTTCTTCATCAACCATTCTCTGTGTGTGTGTGTGTGTGTGTATATGGTGTGAGGTTAAGATGGAAGGGTAGAAGTGTAATTTGTGAATATGAAATAGAATGAAGATGAATGGTTTTCTTTTTTTCACCTTGCATATTGCAATTAGATCATCGAGAGTTGTGTTGATTAGTTTAAGGGCTTCATTGACTTTCTTTTGCCTTGGTGAGATATCTTTCCATATTGGAATTTCCCATGTTGGAATAGGTGAGATGCTTCGATCCTCTGCTTCTCGCAAAACCGTGTATACTGCCTGACAATCATGTCACATTAGCAAAAAAAAAAAAAAAAAAAAAAAAAAAAAAAAAAGAAATCATAACTTAGGTTGCATTTGTTACACTAATAGGACTGGATAAAGCTTTCTAGGCTATTTTCAGTTATGAAGATGAGAAGGGCATTCATGTCTTTTCACACATGAAAGATCAACAACGAGTCTCTGTCCCACCTTTTTTGGTAAGCCAAGAATTAATTATTTGTCTCATTGATATCAATATATGTCTCAGATCAATACATGTCAAATACAGTATTATCATGTCATATCATGCCATGTCAAACATGCCATGCCATGTCATATCATGTCAAACATGCCATGTCATGTCATATCACTTCCCTATCTTCTATCTTCCATTATTTTCTGTGTTGATTGCTTATTTCATTCCCCATCACGATGTCTAAGTCAGTTCAATACATGCCAAACACAGTATTGTCATATCATATCATGCCATGTCATGTCATGTCATATCATGTCATGTCATGTCATGTCAAGTGTGCAAAGAATTAATTATTTGTCTCATTGACATCATTCTAACACTCAGTCCAATACATGTCAGACAAAATATTGTCATGTCATATCATGTCAAACATGCCAAGAAGTAATTATTTATCTCATTGACATGGGTCTAAGTCAGTTCAATACATGCCAAACACAGTATTGTTATTGTCATGTCATATCATATCATGACATGTCATGATATACGAAACTCAATATTGTCATGTCATGTCATGGAATGGAAACAAAAGGGGCCTTAAGGGAGTACTATAGACATTTATTAAAGTGAAACATTAATTTACCTCTACGATTCCATTATCTTTTGTCAACGAATCAAAATCATAATTAAATACTGCTTTCCCAATAATGTCTAATGTCAAACGTGAAAAAAGTGATTCCATTTCCACATCCTCTCCATTATATGCAGCATCATCAAGTTTTTTGCAAAGGCGATTAGTAGCTTCTCCAAACAAGCCAATCATTGCTGCTACATACTACACTTGAAAGTCATTTAAAGTTGAAGTCAATACAATTGATTACTTTAAAAAACAAAATTATAGATATCGATATTATAGGTCTCATTTCAACTATTCATACAAAAAGGGGTCAATTTGGGTTACATTTCATTGTTGAGGGATCAATCTTGTAAAACTTTACAACATTGTACTTTCAATTCTTTTCTTATTAGACCAATGTAGATTTTTCAAAGTACAATGATGTAATAGGAAGAATTGAAAGTACAATGCTATAATAAACAAACCAATGAAAATAGTCAAATACACTGCTATTTTGTTGTATTTAATCCTAAATAATAATAATGAAATATGTGACAATGATACCTTTAGATGTAATGCTGGAACTATAACTCTTCTTCTAACTCGCCAAATTTCTCCATCAGCCGGAATTAATCCTGTTCCCATTACAAATTCTAGGATTTCGGCTAATATACCCTAAACATCAATTATCAATAATCAAGTTTAAATAAGTTAATATCATATAAAATTCATTTTCTTTGTTTGTTAAGAAGATATAGTGGCTTAAACATTTACACTTACTTTTGAATATGCCTTTGAATTGTCTTTCAATATGCGTTTTGCAATGTTTGGATCGGATACTATCACAAAAGACTGCAAAATAAAGGACAATTTAATCAACATTCCCACATCTTTTAGATATCATAGGACAGTATAGAACTATACTGTGTTTGGTGTGCACCGGACTGGAAAAAAAGTTGTACTTTTTGGCCCACCTAAAAAAGGGGAACAAAACTTGTACTTTTTTGTCTTGCAAAAAGTACTTTTTTGTCCTATCCAAAAATGTGGGACCCAGACCACACTGTGAATGAGACAAAACTGTACTTTTTTGTCCTACTCAAAAAGTTGAAACAAGGGTTCACTCCCGATTTCCCATAATGAAAATGGCATAAATGCCCTCCTTATCCTCATCATAGAAAATAGTCCTAGAAAGTTTGTCCGGTGTCTCGAGTAACAAACAAACGTGGTCTGTTTGTAAGATAAAAGGAGTATAAAAATGGAAAGGGTCAAACCTTGGGACCAAATGTCAACCTAAAAATTCCACCATATGTAAGAAAAAGCTCATATAAAGGGATGAAAAATGCTTCACTTCGAATGGCACTTATTGCCCCTTTTGCCTCTGGAATCTTTGGATAGTTTCCACCCAAATCTATGAATTGAGATAAAGATTCAATGAACTCTGAAGGCAACCCCAATTTTGTCAAACTGTTCACCAATAATGATCCAAAACTGCTCTCCCATGAAACAACAAGAATCAATATTAACATACATTCATCTGTAGCGACAGTTTGACTTCCAGGGTCAAACCGATTACAAAACAAATTCAAAACATATACATATGTAATGTTCTTAATCTTCAATGCAATGTACTCTTTAATTTACTAAAAGCTTCAAAAATTCATGCCAATTTTGACTTTCGGTAAGTAAATGATTTGACTCAAAAGTTAAACTCTCGCCTTTCTGGTAATGGAGTATACAATCTTCCAAATGGTTTTTCTTTTTCTATTTCCTTTTCTTAATCTAATTTAGATGATTCGGAATCACATAATCACATTCAAGCTTCAAAATCGCACATCCAAACACCCCTAATTTGTTCTTTAACAGACGAAACGACATTGAACTAATCAAGAAACATTTTCCGATATCATCGAGGTGAAATTGTTTGATTTTGAACATTAATATACCTGGGCTTTTCAACTGTGAATTCGCCTGAAGCAATTCGAGCCGATAACTCAGCACGCCGTTTCTCTTCTCGTAGCGCCTCCAAGCTCTTGCCACTCTTTTCTTCATTACTCGAATCGGGTTTTCTCCCATTTGAATACGAGCATTTAATCCCACAGCTTCGTGAACTCCCTGCGGAAAAATTCATACAAAATCCCATGTCAAAAAGCAATCTTCGGATCCTAATCAATCGAAGTCAACTTCGATAGAACAAAAACAAAATAAAACCCATGTTCCACAATCAAATCTCCCTTTGCAACAAAGAACAATAACAATCAAACTGAAAGAAAACCCACCATATGATTTGGGAATCGCTGGAGATTTGAGCTTAAATTTGTTGGTATGAGAGTGGTGATTTTTGAGATATGGGGAGGGAAATTGGAGGGTCGTTAAACTGGCAGCCATGGTGAGAAAGAGAGAGAGACACGATACAAGAAATGTGTATAGTACTATTTTGTTTTATAACATTGTGTGTATCAGTGTTTGTAAACCGCAAGTAACAAACAGACAGCAGTGGAATCTTTAACTTTCGGAGATATGTGATACCCTCCAACGAACGTTGTTGGGCATGGCGGCCATTGTAATTTCTGATGGAAGTTCATAATTTTAAAGGTTTAAAATCCTAAAATTTAAAATGGGTAAAAGACCGAATTGGATTTACTTGTAAGACATTTTTTTTGTAATTTTAATATGGAAAAAACTTGTATTTCGGTCTTTTTTTGTCACATACATCGAATTATATAATAGCTCATTTCTTATATCTTTTAAATAATTGAAAATAGAGCATTTATAATAATATCTTTAAGTTTATCAAAATAAAATCCCAACACAAAAAAATGTACATTACATAACAGATGGGTCACAGTCGATATCAACAATCATAGTTAAGCAAGACACAATTACATATGACAAGGTTCAAAATAATTAATTGTCTATATAAGCTTCACCCTTTCAAGCCTTTAAAATTCTTCAACTACGGGTTTGTTTGATATTGATGCTAACCCAGTCAAAAGGGGGGACTCGGTCCTCAATCAGAAGTTGATGTGTTTGATTTGGGTGGTTTATCGTCGAACTCGGTCCAAAGAAATCTGAGGATTCAGTCCTCATCTCAAAACCTCCTGACCGAGTTTTGGCCTTCAGTCGGCCCCAAATGACACCTTGCGCTCGTCTCCTTTAATCGATCATACGCTTTCTTTTATCTTTCTTCGTTCTTGGTTTAGAAGGGAAGATCGATTTCAGGTATCTTAAATCAGTTTTGGATTTGAAGATCGATTTCAGGTATCGTAAATCAGTTTTCAGTTTTGGCTTCCACAGAAAACTAGAAACATAGAAGAAGATCGATATGGTTAATGTTGAAACTTAAATCAGTTTTGTATTTGAAAGTCAATGAGTTAATGTTTTGCAGGTGAGTCCGAAATTAAGAAATCATGACTGCATTGTTGTTTGTTCCTGTTTGGTTATGTCGATTAAATTAAAAAACCATGTTCCTGCTCCCTTTTATTCATTGAATCGGTTTTTGTTGATCCTTGATTGTGTTTATTATAAATCATTTGAGTGGGTTTCATCAAAAGCACATGAGGGAAAATCAATTACTTCATCAGCCTTTATGGCCTATTTGCAGGTTTTTGTTTGCTCTTGGATCATTTATTGTGTTTATTATAAGTTATGATTGTGTTTTTTATGCAGCAAATTCATAGGCAATTAGTCATCCTTTTTCATAGCACGTTATTAGGACTATGTGAAATCTAGTTCATTAACAAGCTTTGAAGAACAACTTGCATCTTTTTAGGGTAAGAGAAAAGAATGAAGACAAAAGCTTAAGACTTTAAATGCATTTTTAGGGTGTTGTGTATATGTGTGTATTTTCTTTTCTTATGTATCAAAACGGTAGTTTTAGGGTGAAAATGTTATTTGAGGGTAATATAGTCATTTTTCACATTTAGTCGGATGTAAAATCAAACAACAAGTTTCAGTCAGAAGTTAACTCGGTCAGAAATTCTGACCTAATAAGCTTCTAACTCAGTCAACTCTAACCCAGTTAGCAACTATCAAACGACCCCTAAGCCATGTTTGATTTCTTAATGACTGGGTTCTATCAGACTTTTGGGCTGACTCGGTCCAGTCAGGGTGTTGAAGCCTCTTACGTGGAAAAGTCATGGGATTATCTCACAACTTACTCCACCTGAACACCACAACTTAATGGTGAGTCTGAGAGGAGAAATTAGGCCTTACTTTATATGGTTTGATATATGATGAGCAGAAGTACTCTCCCTTTATCATTTTGGAGTTATGTCTTAATCATCGCCGCTCGTATTTTAAATATGGCACCAACTAAAAAGGTAGACATGACACTATTTGAGATTTGGCATGGAAAGCTCCATATTTATCTTACTTGAAGGTTTGGGGTTGTGAAACTTATGTTAGACAAGAAAACTCAAGCAAACTCGAACCTAGGCCTACCAAATGCAAAGCATTCATAGATCCGGTAGGACTCATCAGGAACTTGAGAGATATGGATTTCTCATTGATGAGTGCTTCATGATGATGAATGCTGATGAGCCTATCAACTATCAAAATGCAATGGCAGATCTTGAATGTAGAAAATGGCTTGAAGCCATGAATGCAGAGATATAATCCATGAGAGAAAACCAAGTCTAGGATTTGGTTGAGCTTCCTACCCATTGTAAGACTGTTGAGAGTAAGTGAGTCTTCAAGAAGAAGACTGACATGGATGGGAATTTATATATATTTAAAGCAAGATTTGTTGCAAAAGGATTCACTCAGACTCAAGGACTTGATTATGATGAAACTTTTTCTCCGGTCGTTATGATTAAATCTATTATGATACTATTTTCCATAGCCGCATATCATGACTATGGGATATGGAAAATGGATGTCAAAACCACTTTTCTAAATGGACACTTGGAAGAAGATGTTTATATGGTTCAAACTGAAGATTTTGTTGATAAAAAAAAACCCTACTAAAGTGTGTAAGCTCAAGAAATGAATTTATGGGTTAAAGCAAGCATATCTAAATTGGAATAATTGTTTCGATGATGAAATCATAAAGTATGGTTTTATCAAAAATGAAGATAAATCTTGTGTTTATATGAAAACTAGTGATAGCTCGGTGACCTTCCTAGTCCTATATGTGGATGCATACTTAACATGGTAAATCACATTTTGACTTTACAAGGTGTAAAGTACCGACTAGGAAAGTGTTTTTCAATGAAGGATCTAGGTGAGGCAACATACATTCTTGGTATAAGATCTATAGAGATAGATCAAAATGATTATTAGGTTTGAGCCAAAGTACATACATTGACAAAGTCTTAAAGTGATTCGAGATGTGAAACTCTAAGAAAGGATATGTACCAATGGAACATGACACAATATTAAGTTCATATCAATGTCCTGGCATAAAGGTTGAGCTAGAAAATATGAAAGATGTTCCATATGCTTCAATAGTTGGATCCATCATGTATGCTATGAATTGTACTAGACTTGATCTTGATTTTGATATGAGCATGACAAGTAAGTATCAACAAAATTCAGGATAAAGTCATTGGATGGCTGTGAAAAACATCTTAAAGTACTTAACGAAGAACTAAGGATATGTTCATTATCTATGGTGGTATGGAAAAAGACTTAAGTGTAAAGTGTTACAATGATGCTTCTTTCATAATAGATAAATATGATTGTAAGTCACAATCAAGATATGTGTTCATTATAAATGGGGGTGCAGTATCTTGGAAGAGCTCCAAGAAGAGTGTTGTAGCGCAATCCATTATAGAGTCAAAATACATTACTGCTTTAGAAGCTGCTTGAATGAAGAAATTCATTGGAGATCTAGGGGTTGTTCCCTCCATTTAGGATCCCCTAGAAATATTTTGTGACAACGAGGGTGCTATTGCTTTAGCTAAAGAACCCATATCACATAAGAAGACCAGACACGTTAACCAAAAGTTCAACTATGCTCGAGATCAAGTTGGAAGTGGTGAAATAAGTATTTTCAAGGTATACATTGATCAAAATTTGGAGGACCTATTCACGAAGCCCCTTCCTTAAGAAAATGTTTGAAAGTCATGCTCGAGGAATCAGACTTCATTATTTTAGTGATTGCATTTGATTTATTTTTTAGTATTGAAGTAGGAACATTATAAAACATAATCTATTGTAGTGATTATGATACATATGGAATATGATCTTTTCATTAAATATTTGTTGCGTTCTTTATTAGCATGTTTAATCCTTGACTAATTTATTCACTCTAAAATTCATACTCGGTTATTATTATGGGAGCAATAATGAAGTAAGACTAATATGAATTGGAATGGTTGATAAAGCGTTGTAATCAATTTCATAGGTACTTTCTAGAGAACAAGTATTAGATACGACCCGTTAAAGATCACTTCATGGATTGTTGCCATGAATGATACTTGATAAAGGTAACATCTATGTATCCTTAATACATGAGATACATATTTGGGACTTAAGTATGGGAAATGTTGTGCTTTAATGTAGTTAAATGTTGTTCTTTTATCACGAAGCTATAAAGGCTATTATTAGGTATGATGTGAACCATGCAAGAGGTGTGTGTAGTCGAGATGGGATTTGTTCTTCTTATTCATTGAGAGTTAGACATTTATGGCCTTACTATTAGTTGAACATTAAATCAGATTGATTGTGCTTTGTATCTCATGTTCAACATGATGTTTGTGACAAAGGGATAACTGATTACTTACTTGATACATCAATTATAGCGTTGAGCTTTTAGGAATTAGATGTTGATGAATGGCACTTCTTCATATGTTAGTGGGGGTAGTGAAATGATGTTAGATGTTTACCACTATCTATATCAATTCATAATAACACTTGTGCACGTGAGAGATTGAAAGATCTTTATGCTTTATGGTCATTATAAAATGATATTTTCTAATAACATATGATCATATAGGGTCACACCATATAACAAGTAAACAGTAATTGATTATTTATTAATTAATATGATTGTTAATAAATTAAATCATCACTTGTATTTAATTCAAGATTTTTTTTGAGAAAATAATAATAAAAGATATCACAACATTATGAACCTATAGAAGACCATTATAATATGTTGTGTATATAATATAAGAAATGATGATGTGGAAACGTTCTGGGGCGGAGGACGTCATGTACAGTATCATAACAATGCATAATAGTAAACAAGCAACAACATCCATTGCATTAATAGAATAATTTTAATACAAGCATGTTCTGTGTAGTTTATAAGACACCAAAAATATGATTCAAAATAAGAGATGAGTCTTGAATGTGCTCCATCTTCTCAAAAGCTTCATCGGTACCTGTCTATTGATGACCTGAGAATACAAGTTAATTTGAAAGAGTTTATCAGCATTAAAGCTGGTGAGTTCATAAGTATTTAGTGTCATTGTTTGTATGAAAACGCTTGTAAGTTGGAGAAAATGTTTGTAAGTTTTCAATGTAAATGTTTGTAGGTTTTCAATGTAAATGTTTGTAGTGAGTAATTGTATCTCCTAGAAAATCCTA